CTCACAATAGGTTTTCTTCCTTTAGAAGGGGATACTGAATGGATGTGACTAGTGTACCATCAAATAACTTGAACAAACCAAAAAAACAAAGAAACTTTACTTTGGATGAAGGAAACTTACTCTTAATATGAACATCCAAAACATTAACTGCCTATTAATGGATAGTGTAAATATCAATGTTTCATCCTCAAGGAAACCTATAAAATGAAGGATCTGACCTCCCTGCCCATCTTTGTTAGAAATTATCAAACATTGGAATTACATTATATCAAATGATTTTCTTTAACAAAACCCTGTCCCTTATAAAAGTATTTTCATGAAAAAAGCACAATGCCTTTTTACCTTAAAACCTTCCTAAACTAAAAACACTGAAAAAATAAAAACATTTTTCTTGATTATCACGTTTACCTTGACTATATGTGTTGAGGCAATAGGTTGTGTCAGGTTGTAACCTCATATGTACTCATTCCAAATAAATGCACAGCTCACATCACCATATAGAGAAAAGTTGCCTTATACTTATGTCAATGGACTGAATGATCCAGAAATAACCTATATTAAACCTGACTAGAGATCCAAAGGTGTATTAATTATTGTTAAATCTCATGCTATAGTTGTTCACTTCAGTCGTCCAGGCTTTATTGATCTTAAGATCCATATGGCCAGGTTTATAGGTTTTTCAATAATATCTAAACTATCTGTTTCAGCATGTACAGATGAAATCAATTGGAGATTACAATGGAGAGGAGTAACATACTGCATTACATATTACATAACACAACATATCTAGAGGATATATTGTTCATTTGAAACTCAAATCAAAATTGTTTTGCATGCATATCATTAGTAATTTATTCATTTAAATGTGGTAACATGTCCTTCATTCTCATAAGGGATGGTAGGCGAAATTATAACCCTCAGCAACAAAGGCATCTCTTTCAACCACCCCCCTCCCATCTGCCATGATTCATCATATATGAAAATTCATTTTGATTCATTGGGTGGTAAGACAAATTGAAAACGACTATAGAATTCAAATGTAAGGGAAATAACCTATTGTTCTTCGATTGGATTAAATAGTAATATAAGACAGAGAAAATTCAACACTTCGTAATACATTTATTGATTGTGTTAATGAGTTAAAATCATTCTAGGGCTCTTTAAGTATACCTTGATTGTGTACATGGAAAACTGGCTATTATTCTATTCCATTTAAATGGCATACATGCCAAAATCACCTGGTCAGTAATAAATTAAGTTTTGCTGTATCCCATTGAAAGAGCAGAAATGAAAATGTCAAATGGGCTAATGACCAGTGGCCACTAATATTAAATATGACTGTTTCATTTCATTTGCTTCTTTTGTTTAAAAAATTCCACTTTCAAATAATTCACAGATCTTCTATTGGTAAATATGGAATGGAGACTGTTAATATATTTGATAAATGTTCACCATCCTCAGTCCATCATCTGTTTCAATGAATAGCAGCAGTTTTATCAAAGAAATTTCGCAAGCGTCACACCAAAGAAGATGTTCAAAAGGTGAATAATATGGGGTCACCTGTCTCTATGGGGAGTGTCTCACATTGATTCAAGTTTGATCTATTTCAAAACAATTAAAAACAGTCATGCATTTTTGAAATCTTTACACCCCGTTTCCTTATTAATTGATAGGTGTGAAACATGCTTCCTAATTACTGAAATCGGAACATAAAATTCCTAGTTGAAATGAGTCACTACTGTAGATTGCAAATGTTTAAATATTTCTTAGAATTTAATTAATTTCAGCCCAGGTGATTTAAACCCATGAAGTATTCATGGTTGTTAATAGCAACAAACTGGCTTAATTATTCTATGAATGGATGTATGTATATCCCTTGTATTTCCCACATATTGAGAAATCAATTTAATCAGACTTTAAATATTGCATCTACTATGTATTTCATTAATCCTATGTACTGTACAGCATGAGAACTGAGATGTATTTACTTATACATAGTACTATTAAATTAACATCAACTGTGCTCTTTAACATTTACTGAATGCTCTCTGTTTAAATGAGAATGAATTATGTGTATGAAAATTCTAATGTAAAACCTAGATAATGTTTAACCTTATACAAGGTATCACGTGTAAAATGTCACTACCTGCCAATTGTTACAGACACCAAACACCAACCACATAATGTCAAACACCAACCATTGAATACCACCCAAAAAGGACGACAACAATATGACACCACTTTTGGATGGTGACATGACAGTGAAAGATAAAACTAAAACAACCTATTGAGGTATAAACAGGGGAGTGGTCATCGAGAATCATCAAAATGATTGAAAGCAAATATTTTGTTTAAATATTTTTGACAAGCCATTCTGTAAACACACATGACTATTGTAACCTTATTTGACTAGGGACTTAAAGTTCTTGAGGCATGAATTACAGCACATCTCTTTATGTTGACATTCAAGGGCTTTATATGACATTTACACAGTGATGTATTTACAAAATATATCTTATGATTATGTATGAACTTAACTGATCTAGAACTACAAGTAAAGTGTTTAGTCTTTCTTCATAACATTGTGACCATTGCTTCATAACATTGTGACCATTGTTTCATAACATTGTGACCATTGGTTCATAACATTGTGACCATTGTTTCATAACATTGTGACCATTGGTTCATAACATTGTGACCATTGCTTCATAACATTGTGACCATTGTTTCATAACATAGTGACCATTGGTTCATAACATTGTGACCATTGCTTCATAGCATTGTGACCATTGCTTCATAACATTGTGACCATTGCTTCATAACATTGTGACCATTGCTTCATAACATTGTGACCATTGCTTCATAGCATTGTGACCATTGCTTCATAACATTGTGTCCATTGCTTCATAACATTGTGTCCATTGCTTCATAACATTGTGACCATTGCTTCATAGCATTGTGACCATTGCTTCATAACATTGTGACCATTGGTTCATAACATTGTGACCATTGCTTCATAGCATTGTGACCATTGCTTCATAACATTGTGTCCATTGCTTCATAACATTGTGACCATTGCTTCATAACATTGTGACCATTGCTTCATAACATTGTGACCATTGCTTCATAGCATTGTGACCATTGCTTCATAGCATTGTGACCATTGCTTCATAACATTGTGACCATTGCTTCATAGCATTGTGACCATTGCTTCATAACATTGTGACCATTGTGAAGTAGATAGAATGAGGGAGTAGTGACTATAAGATGATTTTCCAAACAGGTGTCTTAACAAATATTCAAAAGTACTTATATTCAAATGTTCGATTTTGTTTACTATACTTGACTGATACAAATTTAGAATCTATTTAATCCATAGACTAAATATTGAGAATATCAGAATGAAAAAAAACTTAGAAACAACTTCAAAAGATTATCTCCAAAACATATACATTACATATACACTACTAAGTGACAGGTCAAACAGATATCATTTTATAATATCTAACTAATTATAGGAATTAATAAGCAACTACAATCAACAAAATTTGAAGTAAACATAATATTGTGATGCCAAATTCTTGTTCACCCAGACTTGACATCTAGCACCTCATGTCAGAGAAGGAACTGTTCCTAAACACTAGAGACATTCTACCTAACATTGGTTATCACTTGGGATCATAAAGCTCTCTCTCCAAGGTATTACAATGTTCTCAGATCAGATATCAAAGTTATAATTCTATACAGGTATCACGAGGAAAGTTGTTATCAAGTTCCAACATTTACCATTACTAATAAGCTAAAGATGACAAAAGTAAATGACATTTCTGTTATTGTGTTAAATCCCTATAAAGGTGTGTCAAGGATCAACATTTTACTGTTCATGTTAAATAATAAGCTGGTCTAAATGTAAACTAATCGAGTAGTGGTTACGGGCGTGTGGGCCTCTGCTATATGTCTTAATCCACTCCATGTTTCATCTTCTCTATTCGATCAAAGAAATTATAGAAAGAGGGGGAGGGAGACAAAGATTTGATGATGACTGCTATTGTACAAAGGACTGTATTGCTAGTTCACGGTTAGAACAAGGTGGCGATGACACAGTTGTTTCAGACAGACTACAAGGAGGAGATCGCCCTACATTTCATAAATCAATATTAACTATGAATAAAATCAATACGAAACAAAACATCATGGACAGCTCATTAGTCGTGTTGTTGTTGCGATAATCCTATCAACAAGCATGGTTTATGACGCAGAACATTTCCATAATAATACCTAAGTAAAGAAAATATGAAATATATCATTATTGTTGAGCTGAGGAATGAGCTAAAGAAGTCTCATTATTGTGTTGTTCATCCATGGGTCTTTTAAGTTGGTGGGCAGAATCATCAATCTGAAGTTGGAAGTTTATTTACATACATGCCAAAGATAAATTAGCAATAAGCAAGATTATATCAATATTACAACAGTTCATAATAGGATTCTTCTAATTCATCAATACATTTCATTTACACTTTATTGATCAATATCCTGATAGTTTCTGTTAAGGACAGGGTGCATGTTGGGAAATTTTCTGCATTCCTCAATTGAGTCACATGTTATTTTTCAAACATGAATAACTCCTTCCCCACATTGTCTACATCTTCCAAGTTTGCACAAAGAATGCACTTCTGTGCCTAGAAAAGCCTTGTGAGAAGGTTTGTTTTGTAAAATGTATAAAAAATGAGAAAATTCAGTGAAAAAAATTTCTGAAAATTTTCTGATTTTTTTCACTGAATTTTCTTGTTTTTTATACACTTTATCAAAACATTCTTCTCACAAGTCTTTTCTAGGCACATAAGTGCACTCTTTGTGCAAAACTGGAAGATATAGACAATGAAGGAAAGGAGTGATTCTTGTTTGAAAAATAACATGTGACTCAATTGAGGAATGCAGAAAATTTCCCAACATGCACCCTGTCCTTAATGATAACACATAAGAAAATAAAGGTAACTCACCTATAACAGATGATAATGTGTTGTCTTATGATGACACGGATGATATGTCACTTGTCGTATCCACTTGCAGTATGTAATCTCGATCAGCTGTTTTGTGATATTTACGATTGTCTCTTTACTTCAAAATCCTTAGCTTCTTTCACTGAACACTATAACTTCAAATATTCAATTCAAAATTCAAATATGACTTCAGATATTCAATTCCTTGTGGTTTTGTGTCCAATCTAATATCTCCAACAAATGTTCAGAAATGTTTGTTATCCAAGTTGCTTCAGGTTAGGTGTGTTCACTTTGCTCACTTCTTGTTTTCTTTACTTCTTCAAGTTCATAAAATCTTATTTATATAAGCTGCTATATTCATTTCCTATATGACTCATAAGTCCCCAGTTTGTACTTTGGCTGTAAGATAATTCTGGATTGAAATGTTTTACATGTAACTCATATGCATCTTCGCTTGAATGGCCACCGCATAAAAAGATGAGCCTCCTCAATGATTCATATTTCACAGGTAATTCACTACTAAGTATCCCTGCACATTGAATGTAGGCAGTCTCTTTTTTATGTGTAGCTTTAAATATTGAATGGCCAGTCATTCAGAACCAAACAATATGCATTCCACAATATGAATCAACTGAAGGCATGCAAGCTGATTACTGATTAGCCTATTTAGTGTTAATACCTTCAAACAGGTAAAGCTTGATTGCAAAATCATGCAAATGAGTTTGTGAATATTGTTTGTTCTGATGCTTATCACCAGTTAATGCCTATATGACTTTGAGGCCAGTAGTGCTACTGTGAATTTATTTGAAGTAATAACATTCATGTCACATGTCAAAGTAATATGGGTATTACCAGTTTCACTCAACTCAACTTCAAGTCCTCCATCAAGCCTGTTTGTAACCCCTCCCCCACTATCATCCACTAATGCCTGGGTCACATTTGCTCCGATCCATCCGCCGGAACCCGGCCGACTGAGTGTTTTGTTCAATATTGTATTCAATTTTGAACAAAATACTCAATCGGCCGGGTGCCGTAGTGAAAATCGGAGCAAATGTGACCAAGGCATAACATACGAACCTAGACTCTGAAAAGGGAGACAGATATTGTGGGGGGGGAGACATGGACTTGATGTAAGAATCTGAGTAAGAATACAGAACATTATAATACAAACTAATAATAAACTTATAAAATTGTGTCTGAAACTCGTAGAAGTTTCAATTCGATAATGGGGTGATTTTACAACAAGGTTTTTGTGATAATTTGTTATTAATAATTCATGTAATTAAAACATAACGAAAACACTTTTATAATCACAAGTATTAGTTGGCAGTTTTTACAAATAGAAGACATACTGTTAAACCAGTGTATTCCTTCAGTCATATGAATATGAAATACCTTGATGAATCAAGATGTATAGAAGAACAAATTTTCTAATTTGTTAATTTAACTCATAGGGTCAGCCAAACTCAGTTCCTGTTCCCGGGGCCTGTCCCCTTTTCATTGCTCTCTAAAGAATGTATAAGAAACTGAAAGAAGAAGAAGGAAGTATCAATAACGCTACCTGAGGGATTAGTAACACAAAAATACTGTCATTCTCTAACTTTCACAATCATAAAGGGAGGGAGGGGGGGGGGCCTTACCATCTATTTAGCCACTCTTAATTTAATTAAAGGCAGAATCAGATCTATGGGGTTGACAAAAATTCAAGCAACATGTACAATTGACCCACATGCTATCTATTGCAAGACTTACGCCTGGCGTAACCGTCACCATGTTATTTAGTGTTTTTTAAGTAGCGCAAGGATCCTGCCATGACCGTGGTAGTGTTATCGCGTAAGCCTGGTATAACCGTGACAATGCTGTATTATATTGCAACGTCTGTCATGACCGCGGTAATGTTAAAGCCCCGTATGACCGTGACAATGGTTGCAAGGCCTGCCATGACCGTGGTAATGTTGAGGCCTGATACGACCGTGACAATGCTTGTAAAGCCTGCCATGACCGTGACAATGCTGTATTATATTACCGTATATAGTATGACCGTCATAATGATTGAAAGGCCTGTCATGACCGTGAGAATGTTAAAGCCTGTCATGACCGTGGTAAGGTTAAAGCCTGATATGACCGTGACAATAGTTGCAGGGCCTCTCATGACCGTGGTTGTATTTAAAGTAGCATGAGAACACCGTAATGACAATTTTTCTTCGTGTTTAACTACCTTAAATATGTAAATAAAGACTACTAAAAATGTGTATTAATTTCACAACGAAACCCTAATTTTTAACTCATAAATAATTTGCGAACAAATATATCTCTACTATCATTCAAGGAGGTTCGATTCGAAAGCACATACTTTCTATAATGATCAATTAATAAGCCTTTATCCATAAAAAATACTAACAGCAACGGGTGAAACATGAAGGTCATCAATGTCATATAAATGTTACGGCCGCGCCAGGCTTACACGATTATACTACCACGGTCATGACAGGCATTGCAATATAATACAGCATTGTCGCGGTTATACCAGGCTTTCACGATTACATTATCACGGTCATGGCAGGATCCTTGCGCTACTTAAAAAACACTAAATAACATGGTGACGGTTACGCCAGGCGTTAGTCTTGCAACAGATAGGGTCTCAATTGACCTACCACTCTATTCCTTACAATCTCAGGCCTGTCAACTGTCCCGCAATTTGCGTATTTGTCACGCATTTGCTGAAAAATTTGAAGTCACGCCAGTTTTTTTTGCGTGACAGAAAATGTCACGCAAAATACGCATTTTACCTGGTAATTGTAAAGCAAAAAATATTTCTGTAGAAATTTTTTCGAAATATGTTTACGATACGGTAAAAATACGAACGCCGGAAAAAAACGAACGCAATTTGTTCGGATTTGTCACGCGAATTCTGTATGTGTCACGCATGTTCATTGGAAATTTTTCGTACAGCCCTGCAATCTCAATGGTAACCATTCTTATAGAAAAATAATACATTATTGTAAAAATCTTTAGTTTTCCTGAAATAAAGTGTGCACTTTGGGAATTTTTAGAAAATAGGCATGAATAGGAATCACATAAGCCAGAAATTTTCTAAAATTGAAATGATTTTTAGTTAGGCTGCTCGCTAAATCTGATTCTCTCTTTAATACATGCCTGTATTCCAAGACCCAAATGTTAACTGTAAATTCTACCCTCTGACATGTCTGAGTGTAGACACTGGCCTTTCCTAGAAAACAAGGGACCTGACAAAATTAATCATGAAGTTTTCTTGAAAATTTCTGACCGAACAATTCTTGATTCTGTATGGACTCTTAGTAAAATTTATCATTAATCAATTGTTAATGTCACATTGGTAATTAAGCCACTCCTTCGAAAATAATAAAAATCAAGCCCCACTTGCTGGACACGATGGACAAGTACTGGTTCTTTATATGAACCTGTACCTTCCCCATTTTCCTTTTCACATTATTTTAATCAAGTTCAATATTCACCAAACAATGAATGAAAACTGAAAAACACCTGCCAGAAAATTCATACACTACATTGAGTTGTTACATGTATAATTGTGGTTATATGACAACATTACATAAATTATTAAACTTGTGGTTCACATAGACATGCAGATGAATAATACAGATTTATAACATACAAGACACATTCCATTTTGACTCAAGACTACGGAAGGAAACAGGCTATAAATTATTTCTATCATTTGAAAAAATAAAAGGTACTATGATATCATACAAAAGTCATGATACATGACAATTTGCAGTTGTTTCCATTCATATTGTGGGAATGAGTTGATGCTAACTTTTCTATTTCAAAATGATTTCAGTTTTATGCAAAGCTATAGTACATTTATTCAACTGAGCTACAGGTATGTATTCATAATCTATTGTGTACATATATACATTGGCCATCTCATATATTCACCTTGTTTCATCTGGCAAAGTACATTTTCAATTATCTAAGAATGAGAAGTGAAGCCATGAAAATCCAATGGGGAAATTTTCGTGTAATGAGCCTAAAGATTTATGCCCCCCCCCCCTCCGTAAGTCATGTAAGTTGGACCCTGAAAAAATGGGGCCCAGAATCTGGTCCTCCCCAAACTGGGCAATTTAGTCTGACATGACTGGGCATTAATTTTTTGGGACCCCCTCCCTCTCAATTTCAAGACTGCACCCGCTTTAGTTTTTGCTTATTCAAGTTTGTTGAATTTTTAAGTCATTAACCTCAATAGAAAGATTTATACACATTTTATGGAAAGGTGGTCATAAACAGTAAAAATAAAGTAGAGCCAATGACTATCAAATGCCTCATTGATTGAATTCAGTGAGGTGTCAAAGAAAAACATTCCAAAGATTATTAAATTCCTTCAAACTTGAATCGATCTTTTTTCTTCCAATGGTTGTTTACTTCGTACAGTGAAACCTGTTAATCATGTCTGAATGCCACTTTGACTGGCCAAAAATGTACAGATGAGCAGGTTTTCACATTTCAAGGTTTTTATGGGAGATAAGAAATTTGGGACGAAGAAAAAGTGTTCACATTGAGAGGAGTCCAGATATACAAGTGTAACGACCCTTGGGCACATCCATCGGGGAGCTATAATGTAACAAGCCAGACACCAGACTTGAAAGGGAGTGTGTTAAATTCAATGCCCAGTGCGGGAATCAAACCCAGAGCATTTCGCTCGCAAGGCAGATGCTCTACCCCTGAGCCAATAAGGGCTAGCCAATACAGCTGAGACTGTAGTAGTGACTTGCAATCAAAGGTCATTACACCAGGATGTGCATACACTTGGAACCAGGTCTGTTTCATTGTAAAAATGGGATTAAGCTTTTTAAATTCTCACATTTAGATTGCAATTAACCATAGATGACGACTACTCTTTTTCCATCTTATTCATCAGCAATGTTTTTTTTAGATTTTAGAGGATGGTGCATAAACCTGGGGATGGCTCTGGATGTCTGAGTACAACCATTGCAGCTTATTCAGATGCTATCTATATGAGAACATACTCACTTGACACAGGTGGTCAAGGTACAGGTATATAGATGCAATAAAGATGTCACCCTATTCAAATGCACTGATCTATCAAGTATTACAGCAACACAATTGGCACACCTAATTCAGAATTTGAGAAATTGTACTCTATAAAAATCCAAGTAAAATAGCTCATTATTACTTATTATACAGGGTAGGCCAAAAAAGGTAACCCGAACAAACCTTAATAACCTTACAAACCTTAATAACTGTCATGCAGTATGGGGTTTAAGTCATATTTGGCACATTTGAACCCAGTTCAGTGTTTTTTCATTCAATGAAGTTTCATTGGTCTGTTCCAAATGGTCATGATTCTATTGCTATTTTACAAAACATGCCGAAAATGCTAAAACATACCAAAAGCACCCAATACGAACCCGCAGCATTTTATCTTTGGGGCTATTTCAAAGAGAATGTGTACACTTACAACCCTAGAAGCATAAGTGAGTTGAAACAAGACATTATAAGGAAAATGAGAGCCATTACACAAGATATATGTGAGCGTGTCGTCAGAAAACTTCACCCAAAGCATTCAAGTCTTCCGCTTGAGAAAAGACAGGCAATTTGAGCATATTACATTATTATGTAAAATGGTCATAAAATTTTGACCACTTGGAATAGACCAGTGAAACTTGGTTGAATGAAAGTACATTGAACATGTTGAACAAGGTTCAATCACATCAGATATAACTTTAAATCCAAACTTGATGACCGAGTTATTAGATTTGTTCGATTAACCTTTTTTGGCTTACCCTGTAGTAGGATTGCCTCAAAACAAGAATCTGCTATTAAAGTTAACTTTATGATAATACTTCCAATTAAAAGTTCTACAGCATTTTGAAAATATGTTTTGCCAAATATACCATTTAATTTGTTTCAACAAGAACTAAAGAATAAAAAGCATTTTCTCTGAACTACTCTCACGCACTTATTTTTAATTTCTAGCATATTTTCAACATATTTCAATTATGCATAATAAGAAAGCAATGAATTCACACTATTTAAGAGGTAGTTTGAAATCTAAAGGAAAAAATAGATTCACATGACAAATTGATAATATCCTTGGTTAATACTGTAATACATGTAAGACTTATATAAGCCAATGTGGTTTTAACTTTAAATGGAGCCTATGTTCATTTTTAAGTCAAAAAGTATCTTAATGTTTCATAAGTATGCATTTCCGAGATGATAATGTTTATATTTCATGGGATTTGTTATTTCCTTATGATCTTCCAGTCTATCAAGTACATTTTTATTTTCATCTTTTGGGTGTTGAATCATTCCCCTTCCTGCATGATCTTAGCTAGGCATTAACATGCAAAATGTCACCACATACCATTTGTTACAGATGCTGACAACCAAACACCATTCACAAAAAGGTTGGAGAGTATAACAATATGTCACCACTTGTGGTGTTGACATAACTAGACAGAATCAAGGTGGGACATAAGGATTCACATCTATTGATTAAAAATTGAATTATGACAGGTCCCTTTGTCACACCCAAATCATGTAGATATCCACTAACATCATTTCGTAACAAGCAGCCAACATAAAATATGATTTCAAATATAAAGCAGACCATACCTCTTTATTGAACCTTATTCTATGATCAATTCTTACATAATAGGCCTGTAATTCATTTACTTCTCAATCAACTTTGCTACACCGGACTAAAAGATTCCTTGAAAGACACTGACATTTGATCATCTCCAAATGTGACTTTAATTATCTACAATTAAATTTTCATTAAATCATTCATTGGCAACATTATTAAGGAGGGTAGCAAACTTTACCGAAGATTCCACTCCATCAATTACATACATTGACAAAAACAAAAATTGAATGACAAGGACCAACCTTAAGGTTGTTCCTTGTCAATACATGAGTAACAACAAAGCTATGAGAGTACAATGTCTTGCCAAAAAAAGAATTTTTCCAGGGTCATTGTGTAGATTTTTTCCTAAAAGGAGCCTTGAATGTTTCTGTGATCATTGAGACTTCAGGAAAATTGAGTAAGATTGTTCATTGATGATATTTAGACAGCAGCTTTTTGGAGCATGGTTAGTAGTACCCTTTGCAATAACTCATTTCACTCTTACAATTGGAGATAATTCTACAATCTAGCCTGATATGATATCCAATCAGAATATGTAGACATAAGGTCTTGATACTACATTCTCTGCAAAATAGTTCACAATTATTTTACATTCCAACTCCCATAGAAAACCATGGAAGCTTATAATGCTATATTCTATTGCTAATATCAGTAAAATCATCAGTAATAATAGAGGGTAGCGTGGCTTGCCAATATGGATTCAGGGTACATGATTAGCAAGATTGAATGCAAACATCCACTCATACAGCTACCAAATATACAGCAGGTCTCCAGAAGCTCCAGACTTGCAACAGCAGAGGTTAACACCCAACAAGTCCATTTAAGGCATAATACCATAACACTATAGACCATCAACTTTAAATAACAATTTTCGAGATCTGATTTTACACATTACAGCCTTCAATTTCCACACACAAAGACTTAATGATAATTTCAATTTGAAATATAAATGTTCAGAATCGTGGTGGAAATCGTCCCTTCCTATCAGCAAAAGGCGAAGGAGGGGGAGGTATAGGGGGCGGCACAGGTCTCTTAGTAGGCCTCGAGTAAGTAGGCTCTCTGTAGTATTGATCCCTTGGATCCCTATAGTGATCATCATAACCATCTCGATCCCTTGAGTAATAATCAGCTGATCCTCTTCGATCATAATAATCCCGTGATTCCCGTCGATCATGATCACGTTCATAGTCTCTATCATATTCACGATCATAGTCTCGTTTCCTTTGACCACCGTGATTGTAGTCCTTATGTTCGAATTCTCTACCACTATTTGATCTACGGTCTTCCTTTTCACTAATACGACGTTCTCTGGATCCACCACGATCAGATCCCTTGTCACTGTCAGCTTTCTGTACCACTGAGTGCATTTTCTTACTGTCAGACTTATCTCCTCCTCCACCTAAGAAAGCCATTAGTTCTTTCTCTATTAAATCTTGGGCTTCTGCTTCAAGTTGGGCTTTCTTGTTTGGGTCTATAGGGGGCTCTGACTGTCTAGGAGGGGGCGGGGCTTCCTTGGGCTCTGGGGGCTTAGCAGAATTTGAATCAGCCTCAGTAGTGCTGTTTGAGGGTGTAGGCGGTGCACTAGCTCGACGTTTTAATTTATTGATGAATTCCTCCTGTTCGGCTGCAAGTTTGTCTTCAGCACGTTTCTCAGCTGCGAGTTTCTCACTGACTGATGATGGAGCAGGTGCCTGGCCAGATTGGGGGGTGGGCCCATTGTTTGAGTTCACTTGGTTGGGGACACCTCCATAGAGTGCTGAGCCAGGGGGTGGTTGGAACATGGCATTAGACGTAGATGTGGGGGGTCCACTAGAGGGGCCACTATGAGGCAATGGTGGTCTAGGGGATTGTTGAAACATATTGCCAGTAGGAGGGGACACACCCATAGGTGCCCTTGGCTGTGAGTACATTGAATCTACCTGCTGGGGGTTGGAAGGTCCCCCCTGGTTCATTGAAGTCCTATCTATAACACGTAAATTAGATGGCTGCACCTCAGGGGTAGAAACACTATTAGGTCGCACGCTAGGAGAGGGAACCGGGTTAGCAGATGGTCCACCAAATTGATTAGAGGTATTTGGGGGAGGGAAGCGATTAGAAAGATTTGCTATTGACTGAGGGGCAGACATGGGAGCCTGCTGTTGAGACTGGGACATAGGGGGTCGTTGATGTACGGGGTAAAGCTGGCTGGGAGAGGGTGGGGTCATGCCTGGGAGAGCAGCATAGGAAGGCACCTGGGCCCTTGGGGGAGGAGATGTTAATCTCGGGCCTAAAGTTGTGGGAGATGGTGACTGATTTGGTCCCCCAAACCCAACGGAAAATGGTCTTGCCTGGGGGGTTATTTGGGGAGATTGGGGTTGTCCTCCAGGCCTAAAGCTACTTTTGAACCCTGGGGGTGGGGTATTAGGATCGAATCCTGGGGGTGGAACACTTGTATCAGGACGAGATGGGGCATTGAATGGCTGACCAGAGAATTGAGGTTGGATGCCAGGTCTCGGAGGAACCCCCTGAGGAGGTAATCCTTGCTGTTGGGGAATTCCCTGTTGAGGGGGCATTCCTTGCCTCGGAGGCATCCCCTGCTGGGGATTCCCTTGAGGGGATATGGCTTGTTGTCCTGGTTGGGGAATCCCCTGTTGTGGAGGCATACCTTGAGGTGGTGGCATTCTCTGTTGAGGCAAGGGCATTCCTTGTTGGGGAGGGCCTTGCTGCTGGGGGTGGCCTGGCTGTCCCTGAGGTGGGGGAATAACAGGAGATTGCTGAAGTGGCACCCCTAAATGGGATTGTGGAGGACGCAACCCAGGTGCCTGTTGCTGATTCAAACCAGGAATTTGCTGTTGAGGGTTTAATCCAGGAATTTGCTGTTGCTGATTCAAACCAGGAATTTGCTGTTGATGATTCAGGCCAGGTATTTGCTGTTGCTGATTCAAACCAGGAATTTGCTGTTGCTGATTCAGGCCAGGTATTTGCTGAGCATTCAAGCCAGGGATCTGCTGTTGTCTCGGACTAAGTGGTTGTGCCACTGAGCTTGATGGTTGAACCTGTGGGTGAATCACTTGTCTAGGTACAAACATACCAGCTGGGGATACCATAGGAGCAGTCTGGTGGCCTGAACTAGGGAGACCAGGCGTCTGGATACTAGGAGTGGCATCATGCTGGGTGGAGGGGATCACTATAGGTATTCCTCCTGAGCTATGATCAGCTCCACTATCAGTACGAGTGCGCTTCCTGGTGGTTTCAGGGGGAGGTGTTAAATCTGATTCAACACCGTCATCATCCTCATCATCATCATCTTCGATTGCCTCCCCACGTGAAACCTTCACCTGTTTCTTGACAGATTTAGTTAACTTTGATAAACCTCGAAGAAAACTTGATGTCTTAAGACCACCAGGTTTTTTCGACTGGTTTATAATGTTAGTTAGAAAGTCTATAGGGTTCGATGGTGCCCCTTCAGTGTCTTCATCTAGCACTGGTGTACTACTGCCTCCTTCATCTTTGGTGGTCTTATCTTCTGGCTCTTTATCATCTGTTCCTCCATACATGGCACGATTCAACATAGAGCCTATACGTGACTCTAGAGAACTCTGCTGAGGCTTACTGGGTTCTGAAATAACAAGCAACATGTATTATAAAACATATTTACAAGTATTGGAACATATTTACAAGTATTACATTTGTCTGGTGTTGACACAATCAAGGACGATCACTGTATTGTTTGTTATACAATACATGTATACCTAATACTACAGAAGCAATCAACTAAGATTTTAGCAACTGAAAAAGAACTTGCTTTATAGAATGATAAAAAGATGGCAATACTGGTTTTGGTCTTCCTAGTTTACAATGCCTTTATGAAGTAACCAGTTGCCATGTAATTTACCCAGTATGCCCAAAACCTAATCAGATCTCGGCACAAGTCTGTCCTTGAATGGATACTGTAAAAGGCCAAATATTTTGGACCAAAATTTTTCGAGCTGAAAAACCCATGATTTAATGATTCAATATCAAGGTAGACCTAACTGCAATATATAGGGAGGAACTAAAGTCTCTCTTGGTACAAAGAAACTAAAGAATGTGTATTAAATGTCACATAGCATTGACTATAGAATGAGGTAAACCTATAATTATATTGCAGCATTTGCATAATAGAACCAATTTTAAAATGTAAAGGAAACAAAAAGTCCCTAATTAGAAAAAAACGAAACAATGACATACTATATAAGTAACACATCGAAAATAGATTAATAAACAAAATATGATCAATGCTATGGTGGACATTTAAGAACACACTTATTCAGCATAGCTGAAATATAACTATTAAAATGAGGACAATTTAGGAATCTATTATTTAATCTATAAAGCTCTGACACAAACGCTAGACACAGAATCATGAATAATTTAATAATTGGTATAAGGTCGGCATTAAGTCTATGGCTATGGCCTTTGACCCTTTCTTATGGTGTCGCATGTGTTTTACTTTAAACATGTGTAGGCATACACAATTTCAAATAGCGTACTTTAATCTTTTATATTACGTACATATGACATACACGTCAAAATACATTAGATTAAGATACAGACACAAACAAAATACATACATGGACAAACAGTATACATACATACAAAACAAAAAGCATACAAATAAACTAAGAGAGGGAAAGAGAGATAAGATAAAACATACACAGGTGTCAATAAATGACACTTAAAATAGGATCACTGAACGTGAAAGGGATGCAAAATAGTAGAATTAAAAGAAGGAAAATATATCACTATACAAGACAGAACAAAATTGATATAATGATGCTACAGGAAACCCACTGTGGAAAAAACCAAGGAAGACGGTGGACTCAGGAATGGGGATTTAAAGCCTTATTCACAGAATTCTCTACAAACACTGCGGGGGTGGCAATACTTTTTAAACAAACTTCAAACTTAGAGTTAATAAACCATGAAATAGACGCAAACGGAAGATACATCCTAGTTAACTGCCTCATCCAAGGAAAATTGGTAACCATCGTAAATATCTATGGCTATAATCACGATAATGGAACTCTTTTTCAAGATATCAGTGAAAAACTGCAACTGAGAACAGACCACGAAGTCATTGTTGGAGGGGACTTTAACGTAACATTAAATGAGGAAATGGATAAAGAAGGTGGAAGGGAAGGCACCCATAGAAGAACAAGAGAAACAATAAAAGACCTCATGGATGCGCATGAACTAGTTGATATATGGAGAACAAAATACACGGATGAAAAAAGGTTTACATGGGAGAAAGCAAACAAAACAATTAAATGTAGATTAGACTACTTCCTAAGTTCGACATACATATACCAACAAGTAACAAAGTGTAATATCGAGAGTGACATAATATCAATAGCGGACCACAGGCTAATAACAGCAGAAATAAATATTATGAATATCAAAAGAGGCCCAGGTCTATGGAAGTTAAATACAAAGTGGATAGGAGAAATCGAATTCGATAACAGAATTAAAGAGTCAATAAGAAAAACTAAAACTGAGAATGCCAACCTTAATCCAAACTCATTATGGGAGCTAATGAAATTTAATATAAAAGGCACAGCAAGGAAATACTCCAGTGAAAAAAACCTACGAAACAAGAGAGAGCTGGAAGAAAAAATCAATCTAATAATACAGAAGGAGAAAAGCTTAAATGATACAAATGAAGAACTCGAGAAAGAAACAATATCAAGAAGTATTTTAGATCTCAAAGAAGAGATTAACACACTACAAGAAGAGAAAGCCAAATCAGCCATATTTAGATGTAAGACGAGATGGATAGAAGAAGGCGAAAAGGCAACATCTTACTTCCTTAACTTAGAAAAACGTAATTTTGCAAACAAGTGTATCACCAAACTGGAAACAGAGGAAGGACTTATATTGAATACACAGGCGGAGATTTCGGAAGAACAAGCATCATTCTATGAAAAGCTGTATAAGTCAAACAACACAAACGAAGGCCAGTTTAATGAAACCTTCTTTAAAACACCAAAACTAATTAATGAGCTAAACGAGGTAGAAAAAGAATCGTGTGAAGGAGTCATCACCAAAGAGGAATGTTGGGAACAAGTGAAGCTACTTAACAACAACAAAACACCGGGCACAGATGGACTACCAACAGAAATATACAAACACTATTGGAAGGATATAAGCGATACCTTTTTGAATAGTCTGAACTTCTCATTTACTGAAGGCAAACTAACAATAGAACAGAGAAGAGGAGTTATAACTTTAATTCCGAAGAAAGGTAAAGACCCTACAAAATTAAAAAATTGGCGCCCAATTACCTTACTTAATACTGATTACAAAATTGCCACCAAAGTAATAGGATCAAGAATAAAAAGCGTTCTCCATAGAATAATTCACCCAGATCAAACTGGCTTTCTAAAAGGAAGATATATAGGGGAGAATACTAGACTGATAATCGATTTACAAGAACATTTGGCACAGACGCGTAACACCGGAATTATATGCTCAGTAGACTTCCAGAAAGCATTTGACACACTAGAATGGTCTATGATACAAAATACTCTTGAACACTTCAATTTTGGAGTAGATATACAAAGATGGATTCATATTTTTTATAACGATATATCAAGTGCAATTCTGAATAATGGAAACACATCACGATATTTCTCAATAAGTAGAGGAGTGAGACAGGGATGCCCACTTAGTCCATATATCTTCATACTGTGTGCCGAGATACTAAGCTCAGCTATAAGGGATTCAGATGAGATAACAGGTATAACGATAGATGGTGAAACAACAGTAAAAATCAGCCAATACGCAGATGACACATGCATCATACTTGAGGGAGAAAACTCCTTACAGCCAAGCTTTGAAATGCTCAGAAAGTTTGCTATCATATCAGGCCTAAAAGTAAACGTAGATAAAACTATTGTGGCAATTTTTGGAGCAGATCCCACAGAGGAACACAGACAAAGAACGCAAAATATCTGTCACACAATAGGAACTAAACTGGAAGAAACTGAAATAAACATCCTGGGTATAACAATACCAATCAACAACCGCAATATAGAAGAGGTAAACTACCCAAAGGTCATAGAGAAAATAAAAAACATTGTTAAACCATGGAGGCAAAGAAACCTAACAGTAATAGGAAAAGTCATAATAATAAAGGCCCTACTCATAAGCCAGCTAACGTATATGATGACAGTGCTACCGATGCCAAAAGGAGAAATAATGAAGAAAATAGAAGATATACTTTACGCATTTATCTGGAACAACAAGTCAGAGAAGATAGCAAGAAAAACATTAATGAGAGAGGTTAAAGAAGGAGGATTAAATATGATTGACGTAAGAGCATTTGCTAGAAACTTGAAATTAAAGTGGATAAAAAGCATTAATAATGAGGAAATGAATTCTAAATGGGCAAAGCTATGGAGACACCACCTCAGAAAACAAAACGGGCAAAACATTTGGAAATGGAACTGCAGAGAAATAGAAAAGGCACAACTGAACAACCTGAAGATTAAATCTATACAAGAGGCTTTAAAAATATGGACGTCCATAAACTTCATTGAGGGAAAGGACGTCAAACATAATGAAATAGGACATGAACTTATCTGGAATAATTCTAACATTACCAACAGGGGCAAACTCTTAAACAATGAGGAATGGAAAAGAAAGGGAATTTGGAAAATAGATCAACTATATAATAACAAAACCATCATACCATTCGATACACTAAGAACAAGCTATGGTCTAAATGGAGTAACGTTCTTGGAACACCGCAAAATATTAGCGTGCATTCCAGACATTTGGAAAAGGGCTATGAGACAGAACGACCAAAGTACTGAACCGAGTTATCTCGTAGAAAGGCTACAATTCATGAACAATACCAGTACATACACATTGCTAAAAAATACAGTTAAACAAAAGGCAATAAAATCACAAGGGAAGTGGGCAAAACAATTACACATAAATGAAAATGATTTCAACTGGCAACGTATATACACATCACTTAAGGATATAATAAAAGACACAAAACTACAATATTTTCAATATAGGTTGCTTCAAAGAGCAATTTATTTCAATAAAATGTTATATATAATGAAAATCAAAGATTCACAATACTGTAAAATATGCAATGACAATGCTGTTGATTCAATAACCCATGGACTACTAGACTGTGTAAAGGTACAACAATTTATCAATATGGCCTATGCCAAAATTGGAAAAAGATTTACAGAACAACAATACTGGCTAGGTGAGAAAGTCACACAAAGTGATTACTTGCTACTCATCTACATGAAACACTATATTTATGTAAATAAACTAGAAGAAATGGCCCCAAGCAAACTAGGGTTTGAAAGGTATTTAAAAAAACAATATGACTACAATAAGTATATTTCAATAAAGAAACACAAAGAGGTAGAGTTTGAAAATTTATGGAAATTAGTGCTATCATGTATTTCAAATGATGAATGAGATAATAAGCTTCATGTAATGTAACATCCCTCTCATGTTCAAATCACAAAGATTCAAAACCTCTCTCTCTCTCTCTCTCTCTCTATCGCTTGAAAAGATTCATTTTATATACTATGTATTAATGTAATATAAATGTATAAATGTATGACATATGCTGTAAAATGTTAAAAATGGAAATAAAAAAAAAAAAAAAAAAAATGATTTAATCCGGTGCCCTTAAATTTAGGCAACTTAGATCCGTGGCATTTGTAATGTACTCACTAGTTGATTTCTGATACTTTTTCTCTAAGTCTGACCACTTACTACAGTAGAGAATCTTAAAGTTGGATCAGTAATACACCAACACACTATCATGAACCTTTGAATCCACATGCTGTCATTCGCATTAAAAAATCAGACACAAATATAGCGGCAATTAGGGACTCTTGAAAAATTGGGCTTTTACAGTATTGAGTAAGTGATTTTCTTGAAATTTTGATAACAAATGTGGCCCCTGCCTGCCCGTACCACTGACAAGCAGCTCAAGATACTGACAATATAACAATTTTTCAAAATGCGATAATAAAAAATCTTACTATGTTTGACAGGTTCTGGGTCAGGAGAGCTTACAGGGGAGTCAATGTCAAGGTCGATGGGTGAATATTGCTCTTCCTCTTTAACCTTTCCATGTTTTTTATTCTCTTCCTCCAACTGGGCTTGCTTTAATCTCTCCTGTTTACGACGCTGAACTGAAAATTCACACAAAGAATGTCAGGTTCCATTATACCTTTCAGTAATACTTCATATACACTGTACACAGCAAACATTTCTCAAGGTTGATGGCAAATCTGGGTTAATCTCAATCCTGAATCAATCTTAAAATCAAGCTTGATTCAACATTGATATCCTCAACCTTGAGTCAAGCCTGAAAAATCAACACTGAATCAAGCTTAAATCGACCCTGAGTTGAATCAGTATTGATCCAAGCCTGATTCAAGTTTGAATTCACTGAAACAACTCAAGGGCAATTATCGCTTTATCAATGCTTGAGAAATCAATGTTGAATCAATGTTGATTTTTCATTTAATCAACTTTGAGAAATGGTTGCTGTGTAGGAGGATGGTATTGCGTGATTTTGAAAATTGTTCTCAATCACAAACTTGAGCATTTTAGTGTTATTTATTTGAAGTGATCAATACAAGCTTTATGAGAACCAAAAATGAAAGTTTTAAATGATACATGTTTTAAAATGTCGTATTTGTAGATTGCAAAAAAAGTTCAAACTATGAAGTGAGCTCATACAATGTAAAACTATCTAAACACATCAAAACATATTCTTAAACAGACGTCCCTTTTGGTAAGGAGTGTTATCACTTAATGTTTTTAGAAAAGCTCGTTGAAATATAATTCACTTAATTGGTTAACAACAAAATATTAAGAGGCAGCTTTAATGTCTAAAATTGCAATGCATTTAATTCTTCCTATACAAAGGACGATTCTCGGTTTGGAGAACAGTCTCCTGGGCTAATAATTTTTTTATGAAAAATATAGAAATATTACCCAAATTAAATTATGAATATTCAAAAGAGGACACTTAAATCTACAAGATGTAAAAATAACAAATTGGTCTGAAGCAGGGATAACGCTCAATTAGACCGATTCAATAAAATACAAGTCTCGATTTGGGGAAAGAAATTCATCAGTGTACTGCACTGATATTTTTTTGTGAAAAATCTAGAAATATTACCCAAATTAAATTATGATTATTCAAAAGAAGACATTCAAATCTATATTATGTAAAAAAATCAAATTTGTCCGAAGCAGGGATAATGCTCCTTTAGATTGATGAACTTCGTTCTCCAAACCGAGAATCGTCCTTTAACCAGATTTTTGCTTCTGGTACAAATTTTCTTTTCATGATGTAGCTGGCAATTTACTAACCTTTCATCCTGATCTCAGTTATACTGGGTACAGGCATACTGAGTGAGTTGGTTATAGATGTCATATTCTTCCTACTGTTACCCCCTGTAATTAGAAAAGAATAGATTCAGTTTGCATAGCAATAACACATAACATTACAGAGAAGCCTACAGGAAAAAATCCTCTACCATAGTCATTTTACATTTAGAATTAAACTGACAATTACAGTAACTGATTGTGTTAGCATCTTTTGAAGTTCGCATCTTTTGAAACGCCATACCAAAAAAGGATTTTTTCACAAAAAATATTAGAAAATGCTTGTTCAAAGTCACGAAGAATGAAGTATGCTTTTCATTAATATTATAAAAAAATCAGGAAAAAGTGTCAGAAACTTTCTTTTTCATAAAATCTTTGCTCTTTGTCTGATAAAGGGGATAAATATTGCACTTTTTTATCTAAAAATTGAAAATGTCACGCCTATCAGCACAAGCCAATGACAATACAGCATTTTCGGAAGTGTATATATCTCTTCTTTCAAAAAAATGTTTTGGCGGGCTGACCAAAAACAAAGACCAATTTTGGAGCCTTATACCATGAAAATAAATAAAAAATGTTGATATCTAATTCTTTGTTTTTTGGTCATTTTATCTAATAACAACAATTCCAAACATATCAAACAGCAAATTATCGTAAAATTCAAATGAAATATGAAATTCAGAAGAGAAACAGTGCTTAAATCTCCCAGTCCTGAATGTTTAAATAACTGATTCTCAAGGCCAGTGGTCATTGAATTTTATATATCATCATGAATACAACATTAGCATCACCAAAATATTCAATATCGACTCAAAAATCTTTATTTTTACAATTTTAGATAAGAATAAAAATTAACAGAAACTGTAAGCCTGTATTCAAACTTGTCAATTTCTTGAGAGTAACTATATTAAAGTGATGCAGTTTCGCGATTTAGACTAACCACTGGACTTGAACACAGTTATTACATGTACTAAATTGCAATCATTTTGACTTCAACTAAGGACATGTTTCACATACTGACTTGGTCACATTTTACTTACATTCAGCTAATGCATTAGCATAAAGCATGTATTCCTCAAGGCCTGTCAACGCACTGATTGGTTGTTTTACTAATATCACATTAAAACCATACATTATAATAATTATTCTAGATTCAGAATTTTGGACAGGGTACCACCTGGAGTATGTACTACAGGGAGACTCAAAAGAAATGCAACCCTCTAATCTGAAATAACTTTCATAGATACACCACAACTGAATCAAACACTCTATCTTATACTATAACTGATAGACAAGGCATTAACATGCAAAAATGTCACCACAAGCGGTGGTGACATAATAGTCCAAAATCAGAGGATTGCATTAATTGGATCCACTGAGTTCAATTCAATTCAATTCAATTTATTCCTTAATAATATAATAAAATACAGTACGTATAAAAGGTTTAACAGGTGACATCATTTCTGATGTTTATACCAGTACATGTTAAAGCATAATATTACGAATATTAAGAACAAGGTAAGGTCAAGGAATTATCAAACATATCAAGATTAAGTTTTGTCTAAGAGAAGATCGAAGAGGAAGTGTTGGTGGGGGAGGTGCATCACAGATATAAATATTTATTCCATAGTTAGCATGATATTCATAGGATAACATGTGAAAATAAAAACGGTATTTTTGTAATCAGTGGTAAAATATGATATTTTTGACAAATTTTCACTTAACCATAGCATACAGTTTTTTAGCCATGACATACGACGTCGTATGCGATGGTTTATGGATTTTTGCTACTTCAGACTCAAAACGAAGCTAAGTGTCAACATCGCCGGATCGTTTGGAAAATTCGAATTAAATTACTTAATTTCCGACAATTCTGATGACGACTTTAACTATGGAATAAAAAGAACATCCTATGATTTACTCGTGATATGATTTTAATCCACTCATGTTTATTGATATCTGCACTCTCTCGCTACGCTCGCTCGTGCAGATATCATATCCATTTGTGGATAAAAATCATATCACTCATAAATCATAGGATAATCTCTATTTACAGGTTTAGTGTCCAGTACCCAGGCTTCAAGTTATATTTGTATATCATTTTTATATAAAATACATGAATATGAAAAGTGTAAAATGAAATCATGTATACAAAGCCAAAATATGTTTCTTATATTTCGATTTAAGGCATTTACTCGACCTTGAATTTTTAATTTCTGAAGGGAGGCCATTCCAAATGCATGGTCCGGAAAATGAAAGCATCTTTCTTCCAAAGGATTCTGTTTTAAATTGGGGCAAGGCATAGTTGTATTTACTTACTTCCTGCGAAAGCTATTTGGATTTTGATATAATAGCTTTCCCACGGAGCATTTGGACAGCTCAGTGATCGTGACCTTTGAAATCGAATTAAGTAGATCCGCGGCTTACTTTTGGTCTCTAACTGTGTCTTACATCAGTATCATCAATCCGTGTAAGTATTGGAGCGCTGGAGTACTTCTTTTTCGATCAAGACTTGTAATTGTTAGGTCGAGTGAATCGTTTTACTGCCAAATTCCAATATGGCGGTTTCTGCTCGGACATTTTCGTAAATCTCCGGAGGTTGTCCGAACCTAACTAATTCTCAAAATTCGCCATTTCGTTCGTTGCGTATCTCGCACCTAGCAAACCGCCATATTGGAAATAGGTCTGTAAAACTTTAACTCGATGAACAATTTACAAGTCTTGATCGAAAAAGAAGTACTCCAGCGCTCCAATACTTACACGGATTGATGATACTGATGTAAGACACAGTTAGAGACCAAAAGTAAGCCGCGGATCGACTTAATTCAGTTTCAAAGGTCACTATTGATCAGCTGTTCACTTCTCCGTTTGAGAGCCATAAGTTTCAAAATCTAACATGGCTCTCGAAGTGAGTAAGTATTTACCTCTTGTATCATACTTATGTAATTCAATATGCCTTGTAAATAAGTTAGGAAATATATCATGGATATCGTTTTCATTATTTTGCCACTTAAAGAAAAATTCAGCCACGTTGACTTTAAATATATCATGGATGGTTAGGATTCTTAATTCTTTAAATAATGGTGAACTATGATCTCTATATCCACTGTGAGTAACTAATCTAGCAAATTTCTTTTGTATTAAATGAAGTGAATTAATTGAGGTGATATTGGCATTTCCCCAAATGATATTACTGTATGTTAAATAGGAATGAATTAGAGAATGATATATAGTCATGCAGGTTTTCCTATCTAGTAAATGATTAATCTTATACAAAATGCCAACTATTCTCGATATTTTCATTTTGACTTTACTAATATATGGTCATTCCATGTAAGGTGTTGGTCAATGATCAATCCAAGAAAATTAGTATGTGTTACTCTTTAAGATACTAACACTCTAAAATAATTTAAGAATATATCATTACTTATATATTATAAGTTATACATATGTTAAGTACAAGCAAGATGATCTTACCATTACTGTCCTCCTCATCAGACATTTCCATATCCACTGTGTCTGTATTGTCACCCTCTCCCCCACTCATAGATGGCGCTATAGTATCCACAACATAGTCTGGCATTTTCTTGACTTTATCATTCAGTTTCCGTTTTAAATTGTTCACTCTTGTACCGAAATTCTTGTAAGCCTACGTGAAAATATGTATGCATAATAAACATATATTCAAGACACAGTTTTTTTTATTTTATTATTAAACAAATGTTTTATCCCGTTCAATTAAAAGTGAGTTATGCATGTTGAGTGGAAGGAAAGACAGATCAACAGAAGTCACGTCTGAAGAAAATATTCATTAATGCATGAGAAACTCAAAATTTTTAAAGCTGGAAAGACAACAATGTTCTTATATGGAATGATTGCTATGAAGAGAACAAACATTACAGTTGATCATGGAAACTGTCATATTATCACCTATGCTAGAATCACAGCTATGCCTATATTATTTTTATAACCTAACATAATCCAAAATTTTTTATAAAATAAAGAAGCTTTCGCAAGCAATAAAATTGACAAATGAGATACATTTGTCATTGTTTTGTTTCTAGATTTGTACTTGGTCTTGCTTCCAATCTTACTCTCATTCCTTCTACCACAAGACCCTGTGATAAACACATATACATACATTGGATACAATTCTAGCTTCAGCATATTGAGCATCATAGTAGATCTCTGCCTGTTCCAAGTTCTCAACAAGTGCAGTGTGGTCTTTGAACACTTTGTCCAAGTTCTTCACGTAGTCTTCATACTTGTTGCAAGCATCTTCAAATTGTTGAGAAAACCCCTTGCCGTGTGCTCTGTCTGAAAACAAAAAATGTGCTCAGATGAAATAATATTAAAAGTACCAGTCTCTGTGCTCACAAAATCAATGTTACCAATTTCACAGATGGATGCCTATGATAGATACCAACTCCATAGGCATAGGCTAATTGTGTGATTGCAAGAAGAACACTTTTCAAGTGGAAGTTTTAAAAGTTAGTGGAAGTTTTAAAAGTTAAACATTGTTAAGAAACAGATCCAAAAATCAATTGTACTTTTCCTTGTTCATCTGATTTATGAATTGCAAAATAGACAATTGACCAATGGATACGTAACTTTCCCATATTTGGAACAAAGCGATAACATGCAAAATGTCACAACTTGCCATTTGTTACAGATGCTAATCTGCCAAACCCAACAACCAAACAACGTCCACACAAAAGTTGGATACTATAGGAATGGTGGTGATATAAAAATGGAGCCCTTGTGGCTATGGCTTACCCTTAAGCTGTTTCACAGCTTCGATATTCGAGGCATCAAATCTGAGGTTCTTTACTTGGTTGTATTTCAGTTCCAGCTCTCCTTCTTGATCAGTGTATTCAACTATAGACTCCATTAACTTCTCAGCCTAAAATAGTTATGTTTTACTGTAAATACTAGCCTATATATATATTTTTTTTTTTAAATCATGTATATATTTCTCATTTTATAACTTTGTATACAAGTACATCAGGTCATTTTACAATATTACGATATTTGTGAAAAATGATATAATTTCAATTCTTGAACATTATTACAATAGTTTACAAATATAACGTACCATAAGTTGTTAAACCATTCATTAAAATAAGTATAGTTAGTGTCTTGTACCTTATAGCCAAAGACAAGAGTTTTATACTTTTTCAAGCTTAATTCAATTTTAAAATGATCTAAAATATAATTTTCAAGTTGGTCTATTACATTAAGTACTCTATGACATTGAAAGAACAAATGTTTATAGTCTTCTACTTGTCCGCAAATATCACACTTGTCGTTAACACTTATTTTCCATCTTAGAAGTAATTGTTTGCATGGTAAAATATAATGTAAAAGTTTGTATTTAAAATTGGCCACTTTTTTATTTTTGGATTGCTTTAAAAGTATCCAAGTCTGTTGAAACAGCATTTGACTATTTTGAATTTCACAAAGATTAATCCAAAATGATTCCAAATATGTTTTAGTTGCTATATGTTCCAACAGGATTGAATATATGTCTCTAGAACTTGCATGTTTATCCAAAAATCTATAATGCTTCAATTTACTGTCATAAAATCTTAAACTTACATTTGTATTAACATATGTACATCTGCTTGCCTCACTAAATATTTTAACTCTATATTGAAATGGCAAAGATTGCTTAACAGTTATATATTCTGCCATCCAATTGACCCTAGATTTAAGCTTATGAAGAATTTCATCTTGGGTACACATAAGATCATTAACATATAATATATTTATCCAGTTTTCAAAATACAAACACTTGTTATTGAAAGTTATGTCTTTATTGTGCCATATCACCATTTGTCTAATTTCTGCAAATGTTATGTTATCAATTTTGGATTCTGAGCCTCCAAGAATACTCCAAGCATGGAGTAAATCTTTGTAAAATTGAGGCAAGATATTAAAATTACAAATATTCTCTGGTTTTCCATAAGTAGATTTAAATATCAAAGTATCTGGGAGTCCAGTTTTACTTAATATCTCTCTTGCTAGAATATTCCAACTTGCATGTTTATTCCCATACTCAATGTCTAATATCCATTTAATTTTAAAGGCCCTGAATTTAGATTTTAAGTCAGGCATTGAAAGTCCACCTTTAGACAAAGTATTAATTAAGACAGATCTTTTAATTTTATCTCTTTTTCCATCCCACAAAAATGAATAAAGTTCTGAAGTAATTTCTTTCAAAAAAGTTTCATTTGGTGTGTCAATGCTTTTTGCTAAATACATCAGTTTAGATAATGCAAGTGTTTTAATGATAACTATTTTCCCATAAAGAGTAATCTTGCGTTTTTTCCACAAAGACAATGACTTTCTCATTTTATCTGCTATACTATTCCAATTAAGATCATGCAATTTAGTTTGATCTATTCCAAAGTAGACACCTAATGATTTTACTTCCTGTTTCCAGGAAATATTACAAAAAGTAGTATTATTATCATTTTTAAAGTTACCAAGTTTTATGTAACCAGGCTATTTCATATTTTGAATTTCATATTGATCAATCCCATTTGTTTCCTTGTTCATTTTAACAGGTCCTTTTAATCCTCTTGCATCAACTACTTTTACATCCAGTATTTCAGATATTTATAACCATGTTGTTTGCAAGTCACTTTTGTATATATGCTCTATTGTTTAAACCAGTTTTGTATGTTGTTTCATGCTGTGTTTGTTTTTACTTTTCATTCATGTCTTCATGTTATATTATATAGATCACATTCACTCACTCATGAGTTTGGGTGTTGCCCAGTAAGTCAGTTAGTTAGTCAATTGTTGCGGAGATACATGTATCAGATTTTGAAATAGACTTTTTTAGACATTTTAAATCATAGTTTCTGTTGTATTTTATTCGCCACCCACGGCCTTCCATCGCCCATTTACATTGGTACCAGGAGTGGGGTTGGTGAGCGAAACAGTGGGGTGAGTAACGAGTGGGGTTGGTGATCGAAAGAGTGGGGTAGGCAAGGATGTAATTGCGGTCAGCAAAATATTTGGTAGACATTTTTGGATAAAAGCAACACTGACTGAATTTTAGCAACAAAATGGATTTATCACTCGTGACCTGTTGGTTTTGTAAAGGAAGAGGCCATCGTAAAAGACAATGCATTTCGTTTATCCAACAGAGATATTATTGTTTATTATGTGAAACTAATGGAATGCATCGCACCAAGGATTGTCAATCATCTGTGACTGTAAACTGTAAGTCTGTGCAGGTACAGACAAAGCCAAAAACGCACAACAAGTACAGCCAAGCAGAATATGTAAATATGGACGTATATACAAATGCAGTTTCCGATTATAAGCGGATTGAGAGCGAACTCCATGGACAGAGGAAAGGAAACCAGATGTATAAAGAAAAAATCGCAAAATTCGAAGTTGAACGATTGGACGACAAAACTCGGCTGAAAACACAAAGGAAATTGATAAAATCTCTGGAAAACGATATTCGTGAATATTGTGATAAATTATATACTTCAACCAGTGAATCTAGCCTTCTGCAATCTAAACTCCAAGAATCCGAAAAACAAATTACTGCACTGTCATCACGTTCTAACGAATATTCAGCTTTGATTGCAGACATCGAACAGAAACTTAAGGATCGAACACAAGAATTAGAAATCTACACTTCAGTGATCCGATCGCAACAAATCAGAGTCGATGACCTTGTTAAATCGTCTACTGGAAATTCCAACTTCTGGCGACTTCTAGGAAATCGTATCTTTCAGAAAACGTCATCACACAATCCATATACCAAACTTACCAACCAACCATTAATTTTTGATGTCTGAGGAACTGTTTTGTGCATCAACTAGCCACTATATGATGATATGAGATGATACAATATTACACTGTTGTTGATATAATTCTGTTTAAATGATATATTCATTGATAGCTGATATGATAACGATGCTGATGTGATATTGATAGTGATATTATTGACTTTAAAATCAATGTGTTTCAATTTTATACATAATATTATATTGTAACATTTTCTTTAAGTTTGACTTAAATATGATAATCATGCAAGTAATTACATTTGTATCTTTGCTGCATTAAAAGTTAAACCATTTACAATCTCAATATTTGCAGATGTTTATTTAATTATAATCTCTAGTGGTGTATTGCATTGCCTTAAATGGTGTATTGCTTAGTCTTAATTGATGCATAACTGCTTTAAATGGTGTATAACATAGCCAATCGTGGTGTACTACTTTGCCACAAAATGGTGTATATGTAAGCCTATATTGGTGTATATAACTGCCCAACATGGTGTACTATTTTGCCTGTTATATGGTGTGGGCGATATAAGCCTATAATGGTGCTGCTGGGCGATAAAAGCCTATAATGGTGCTGCCAAGAGATACAGTTCAACATTTTGCTCATATTCTAAGGTTTATCGTAACGCAATGCAAATTTCAGTACCTAATTTCAGTAAGTGTAGCATTGATTCAAGTATGATGTCACTTCATTACTGTTTTCTATTGTTATTCAATTAATGTATTATGTGTATGTGTTAATTCTTAGGCACTTCAATATGGTGTTATTTATATTGTATTTTGTTCAGGTCGTGGATGTTTTTCAAGGGAGGATAAACCTTTACTAAATATTTTATTGTAAATCATTTTGAAAAGTGCAGTTTATTATGTTTTTTAACTTATTTTTAATGTTTATGGCTGAATAAGGTTTAATGTGGGACCATTAAAGACGTTGTCCGCGTGAATGTAACCAGGCTATTTCATATTTTGAATTTCATATTGATCAATCCCATTTGTTTCCTTGTTCATTTTAACAGGTCCTTTTAATCCTCTTGCATCAACTACTTTTACATCCAGTATTTCAGATATTTATAACCATGTTGTTTGCAAGTCACTTTTGTATATATGCTCTATTGTTTAAACCAGTTTTGTATGTTGTTTCATGCTGTGTTTGTTTTTACTTTTCATTCATGTCTTCATGTTATATTATATAGATCACATTCACTCACTCATGAGTTTGGGTGTTGCCCAGTAAGTCAGTTAGTTAGTCAATTGTTGCGGAGATACATGTATCAGATTTTGAAATAGACTTTTTTAGACATTTTAAATCATAGTTTCTGTTGTATTTTATTCGCCACCCACGGCCTTCCATCGCCCATTTACATTTATACCTTCTGTTTTTTCTAAGTTAAGCTCTAAACCAGAAACAGTTCCGAAACGCTGTATTTCTTTAATAGCTATATTAATAGAGTTTTTTCCATGAACAAAGAGAGTGGTGTCATCTGCAAGTTGACATATTTTGACTTCTTTGTTTCTTACTTTAATACCTTTGATTCTAGAATTATTTCTAATATTGATTGCCATTGTTTTTGCTGCAATGAGATAAATCAAAGCAGAAATGGGACATCCCTGCCGAATGCCCCGAGATACATCAAAATATGGTGATAAGTAACCATTATTAGCTACACAGCTTTGTATTCCATTATACAAGGTTTTAATCCACTGGATAAAACTAGTGCCAAAATTAAATTTCTTTAAAGCTTCTAGAGTGAAGTCAATTTCCAAACAATCAAAACATTTTGAAAAATCTGCAAAAATAATAGCAGAATCTAATGTTTTTCTATATTTATTAGCATAATTGATTACATCATTTATTAGCCTTATATTATATCCAATAAATCTTCCTTTAATATAGCCCTGTTGATCTTGATTTATAATAAGTGGTAATATTTTATGAAGTCTCTGAGCTAAAATGTGGGCACATAATTTGTAATCTACATTAAGCATGGTTAAGGGTCTCCAGTTACTTAATATTTGGTTATCATTTTTCTTATGTAACAACTTTATAATGCCTAATCTCTGAGAGAAAATTAATTGTCCTTTACTGTAACCATAATTTAAAACATCAGTTACCATTTTACCAATTAATGGCCAAAATGTTTGATAGAATTCAACAGTTAATCCATCTTGCCCTGGAGATTTATTAAGCTTCATGCTAAAAATAGAATTTTTTGCTTCATCATAAGTAAGCTCTCCTTCACAGAGATCTGCTTCCTCTTTAGTTAATGCTCGTTTAATATTAGTATTGTCTAAATAATTTTTGATTTTATCCTTTTGTATATTTTTTGAAGTATAAAGAGTTTTATAGAAATTCTCCTGCATTTGTAATATTTCATTCTGATTACTGACTAAAGTTCCATTGGGACGTTTTAAATTATATATTGTTTGATTCTTCTGTTGGTGTTTTTCAAGGCCAAGAAAAAATTTTGTGTTACGTTCACCTTCCTCTATCCACTGTACACGTGACCGTATTTTGGCAGCTTTCGCTTCATACTCAAGTAAAGTATTATAACGAAGTTGATATATATCATTATCATTACAATTACTAATCTTATTAAGTAAAAATTGTTTCAGTTTTTTACGTGTTTTTGCTTTATGCTTAGCATACTTGATAGATTCCTCCCTTATTTTTACCTTAAATAACTCCCATTGATCTCCACAGTCAAGAGAAACATCTGGCTGAGAAAATATATTAGTTATCAAGAATTTGAAATTATTGTCTTTAAGTAGACTATTGTTTAGTTTCCAAATACCACTACCCTTAGCAGGGCAAGATGACCGCTTTAAGCATATTGCCTGGTGGTCACTTTTATAGCTAGGTCTGATATCACATAATTTAACTTGTGACATAAAAGAATCAGATATCAAAAACATGTCTAATCTACTTTTCATAAAAGGAGTTTTTTGTCTATATGTAAAATGTTTTAGATGAGGATGTAAATCTCTCCATACATCCTTTAAATTGTTGTTTTTCATTAATTTATGAATTTTGTTATTTTTGATAACTGAGTTAGGTAGTTTTTTAAGACTTTGTCTATCCATTTCGGGATACTAGCCTATATGCTTTGACTTTTTTAGATATCATATGTTTCATTGAATCATGCGATGTAAAAACTCTTTATATTATATTACATGTTATGATAGCCATACAGTGTACATGTATATTCAATCTTATGGCTCAAATAAATGGTTTGTTAAAATGGATGACTGAGCTATTTTACCTATTGTTTATCTATTGTGAATCAAATCTCAAAATACACATCATTTAGGAACTACCATGTTCATGGTACATGTACATGTCAATACAATATGATAAACAGAGGTTATTTACCTATGTATATGTTTTTTTTTTTTTGTTTTTTTCAGTAATCTTGAATGCTTTTTATTGCTATTTCTTGAAAATATACATATTTATCTACAATTTGATCCTACATATCAAGGATAATTATGACATTGCATTTTTCAAAAAATGTTAAGAGACCCCAGGGGTGTCTATAGCCATTCGTTCTTTACCCTTTTTTGAGAAAACTAAGGTGTATACTAGGTGTAAACTACCTCATTTCCATGTGAAAGTGGTCATCAAAATGCAGGTGAAAACTGGGTGAAACTAGATGTAAATTGTTAGTGTAAAGTCTATGTAAAATATGATATAGGATGTCATTACTATTTGTTTTGTAACTTGTTAGGTACAATGAATACACACTTCCAGTTGCCAGTTGTGTATAGCAAGATCATTTTAATGGCTTAACATTAACACAATGCGTAAGTGTAGTATGTAACATAGTGTGCATAATGGAAAACCATTTCAGACACGTAAAATACATAACAATAATTACATCTTAATGTATTCAACATTTAGAATAAAATTTGCAAAATGCCTGTTTAAATCATTCTTATCGCAGTCAATTTTTTATGCTAATCTTAATTTTATTCCAGAAAAGTAGTGGGTAATTATACTAAAATTCAAATATGTATGCTATCATCGAAAATACCACCATCCTCATTGCATTTATGCTTTACTAATTGTTCATTCTCTGTAATCAGTCTCAAATTTTGAGATAAATTCAAGACTGACATCCTTGGATTTCAAACACCTATATGAAATTACAATGACATGTCAAAAAAACAATTATTTAGTAGCAACAAAAAGTTCCAAAAAGCAAGCCCAATATCCTGTTTAAGACCCCCACTCCAACCACTGAAAATGGACTCCAGTAATCCAGAAATATATGTTTTATACTGAGGGCCAATATAATTTTACATGAGAGACAAAGGGAAATATTATATTGACTGGAGAATAAAACTCTTATTGAACTCCTGACTAGGAAATATATTTCAGTGTTTTACACCATGATAAATGAATCATTTAAGTTGTGTTGTTGAAACAAATCATCAAATATCACATGTAATAAGTTACGAAAAAACCTACATGAATAATGTAAATTACTTAAATTTGAATTTTTCTTTTTGAACATTGTGAGTGCATGAAACGAAAAAATGTCATCATACAAAATATTAGAGCTGGCATCAAATGTCGGAATGGTCGATTGTCAGTCGAATGCTCTCTGCGACACCCATGTCGACACAACGCCTCTTGATCGACAGTCGTAACTCACAACATAATAAGCTATTTCCCTATGAAATAAAATCTTTGTTACTACCTGCTGTATGGTGTATTTTAGTGAAGTTTTACCGCCTACATTTTCAAATTTTCTTTTTTGTTTTGAACGACTTCCAGCTCACGAATTAGGTCTCGGGGCCCCTCGAGATTTACCCTCGAGATTTATTTTCAATGGCTGCCCGGAAATAAACAACAGAAATCGTAGTTTTATGTCTATTTATTGCTTTTTCGTCAAAGTCTGATACTTGAACATGGTTTACCTGTAAGTTAAATATAAAACATACAACTGAGGATGACTATTGTGCATCGTATTGCTAATTTCAATCCTAGAAAATCTAAAATTCAGACGAATTTTCTTCAAAATTTTTTTTATTTTTCGAATATCATTGGACCCGACAATGTCGATATCGTTGTCGATCGAGAGCTCCGACATGTCGACATTAAAATCCTATTCGATGCCAGCTCTACAAAATATGGGGATGAAAAGATTCAATACATTGATGAACAGGTGAATATGATTTTTGAGGAGGGATATTTTCAATATCAATTGTATTCCCTGATGTTATTCACTCGGAAGTAATAATATCATAAAAGGTGAGTCTATGCTACACTTAAAATACATTACCTGAAAATCTGATATGAGTTTAGAATCTGTAGGAGGTCTTGGAGTCTGGTTACCTGTAAAATGAAGATACATTTGAATTAAAATGTGTTTTGCTTCACCTAATTTACATATATAAAAGCATGATGTTAAATACAAGGTCCAATTTTGCTGTTTAGAAAATGATCTTGTATGTAGAAGTATATGAGTAGTCATAGTTTATGAGTGTAACCAACACAATCCCCACTACACACCTCCCCACTACATAATCCCCACTATACAATCCCCACTACACAACCCCCACTACACAACCCCACTACACACCTCCCCACAAATATTAGCCTGGTGTTTGAGAAGATAAGGAGAGGGGTTCAGAGACTACTAAAAAAAGAGACTAGTACATGTATACAACAACAATGGTTTGACCCAATTTCTAGATATTAACTGTTTTTTCAATTTGACTTCCCTACTTATCAACACAACTGTGTTACCATACCCCCTCTTGCCCATAAATACAACTGTGTTACCAGACCCCCTCTTGCCCATAAATACAACTGTGTTACCATACCCCCTCTTGCCCATAAACACCTTCTTGCCCATAAATACAACTGTGTTACCATACCCCCTCTTGCCCATAAATACAACTGTGTTACCATACCCCCTCTTGCCCATTAATACAACTGTGTTACCATACCCCCTCTTGCCCATAAACACCTTCTTGCCCATTAATACAACTGTGTTACCATATCCCCTCTTGCCCATAAATACAACTGTGTTACCATACCCCCTCTTGCCCATAAATACAACTGTGTTACCATACCCCCTCTTGCCAATAAATACAACTGTGTTACCATACCGCCTCTTGCCCATAAACACAACTGTGTTACCATACCCCCTCTTGCCCATAATACAATCTTTTGGGATAAGACACACAAGACTTGATAGATATGCATTTTAAACATGTATGGTAGACATGTATTACATATGTAATAACACTTACAAAGCAGCGCCTGTAGTTCATCAACATACTCGGAGTCATATACACTTCTCTCAGCCCACACTTTGAAGATTCTCTCAATCTTGGGACGTATACTTGCCTCTCTGAAAGAAAATAATGACTAACCACTTAAAAGACATTCACAGTTACAATTTTCTTCTCAAAGAATGTACTAAAATCCAGGATTTGACTAGCCTAGATCTAGATTATTTGGAAAGTCATAGATGGCTTTTTGTTTGTACATCAATTATGGAATGGGATAACATTTACAGTGATCACACAAGGATTTTATCGAAAGAGGGTGCAAAAAAATTCAGAACCTTACAATTTAAACCAAATTTGGTCAAAATATGGCTAATTTCTCATTTTCAAGTGGGGTGCATATGGATTTTCAGGTGGGTACAAGCCTGTTTTTAGAAGCACCCACTTGCTATAATGCCGGGGAGATCACTGATTTAACATTTGACTAAAATAATAAATTGTTGAGGTCTTGTCAGTATTTTTACAAAAATAACTTAATCCCCAATAGCTGATAAATCTTGAGATCCCATCCTGTGTTAATACTCCGTAGAAGAAGGAGGATTTAATCAAGTTCTTAACAAACAAATATTATGCATAAGTCCCATCTTTATCAATGCAGTGATCTCCTCAGCATTAAAGCAATTGCACCCACCTGAGATGTTAATGAAGGACCCACGGTCCTATGCTCACACAGTTTGGAACCTTCAGAGGAATTTATATCCTGACTTTCAAACAAAAATATTGATTTTGATTTGTAGTCTCGAACTTTGAGAAACTTAGATAGCATAGTTGTGTGACCTAGTTTGATGACCTTTGACCTTGAAAATTTTACTTATTCAGAGCTCAGTAAGGTCTTTTGTGATTAAGCTGACCAAAATTTACATCCAAAAATCAATTTGAAAAATCAACTTTTTGACCTTTCGAAGGTCACTGAAGGTCAAGTAAAGGTCAAATCCTAAAACTAATGTCAGATTTGAACTCCTGGCAACTTGTAGATGATTTTCAAAAATAAATTTGGTCAAATTGAAGCAAGTTAAAAAATAACTTATTTTTACTGTTTTTTGACGTCAAATATCTCAAAAACGGTAAAAATTTGATGCTGACATATATTGAGAAATATGTAGGGAATGCTTAAATCTATTAATGATCAAGTATAAGGCAACCTTTAAGAATCTTGTCAATCACAAAACCTGCCATTGACTTTATACATGAGAAAGTTTCCTGAAAATGACAAAGTCCTACTTTTTTTCAAATTTTATAGAGTAAACACCAAAAAACCGTAATTCCAAGAGCTTTAAAATCTTCAGAGGACATAAGTTGCATATACACCAACTACTAAAAGTTATTTGAAAGTTCTTCTTCAACAAAGTGTCTAGTATTTACAGAAAATTTGACTTTTTGACGTCAAAATCCGCAATTTCTCGGAAACCGGGCGAACTTGGGAAATGGCGATGATAGGTCAAATAGGCATTATGGATATGCATAAAATGAATGTGGATATGACTCAATCCAAATAGCAGTTTTAATTTGTGCGGCCAATGTTGACGGACGGACGGAGCAACGGACGGACCAACGAACGGACGGACGCCTGGTCAATCCCATAGGCTCACTGTGTGAGCCAAAAACAGGCTTGCACACACCCAGGGTTTCATTTGCACCCACTTGAAAAAATCATGTAAAATGGGCATATTTTGGACTAATTTTGGACTAATTGTGAAAATGAGAATCTTGCACCCATTTGATAAAAAATCTTAGGGAGAACTATGCAATGCTATAAAATATTAGGCACAATCAAATTTGGTTACCTGACTAAGAGAACAGCGTCCTTTAGCACCTCTTTAAAAGCATCTTTATAGATAATAGCATGCTTCCTCTTGCACGTTTGAACCACTTCATTGCACACATAGAACAGAACCAATCGGTGAGCTATTTTGGCTGAAAAAGAGATAGATTTGTAAATACTCAGTTTTATGCATGTGCTATTATACATCAAAAAGTTCAGGAAACGTTCAGAATTTTTTTGTTCCGTGACGCCTCCATTGTATTGCATCTAATCATTTCAAAATCCATATAGAAATGAAAAGTTGAAAGATGTCATCTAATTTGTAGGGATGTCATCTAATTTGTAGGGATGTCACAGGACAAAAATATTTCGGGACGAAATGAGACCTGAAGCACTCAGGTCGGATACTATTTGTAAGCCACAATGTTAACATACTTGGAAAGTTTGAGCATGACCTACTAGTTAAGGTCAGGGTGCATGTTCGAAATTTTGTTGCAACCCTCAATAGAGTCAATGTTTTTTCAAATCTGAATCACTCCTTCCCACAGTGTGCTAAAAATCATGTCGTTATTCGCCCAAATGCGAGTCTGAAAAATTTAGGCGACCCAAAATCAAAACATGTTGCCGAATTTGGCCAGACAGAATAAAAGAATTTGATCTGTTTCTCTTCAAAAATACATATCTTAATACCCTGTCCTCTGTGATTTCAAAACATGTTGTAGTTTTACCGATATTGGATCGAAACAAGACAATAACTTTTTTTAAAGTTTCTTGCCGCAGTGAAAATGAAATAAGGTATGCTCTCAATTCAGGCAGCAAAGAACCATTTTTATGGGATGGGCAAAGTACCTAGACCACCCTATAGTGAGCACCCTGGATCTCCTTTGGAAAGTGGAGAAATAGAGGTCTAGTTTTGCTCAAAGGATTTTGGATAACATCGAGCTGAACTATGGCAACACAAAAAAAAATTTGGCGGGGCCAAAATTGGTGACAGAGAAAAATTTATTTTTAGCATCCTGCCCCACAATGTCTACTGATCTCTTACTTTTGCAAAACGAGTGCATTAATGTACCTAGAAAAGAATGTAAAGAAGAATGTTGTGATAAAATATATAAAAAACAAGAAAATTCATTGAAAATTTTAAGATTTTTTTTTCACTGAACTTTCTCGTTTTTTATACATTTTACAAAACAAATCTTCTCACCAGTCTTTTCTTGGCACATAAGTGTATTCTTTGTGCAAAACTGGAAGATGTAGACAATGTGTGGACGGAGTGATTCCTGTTTGAAAAATAACATGCGACTCAATTGAGGAGTGGAGAAAAATTCTGAACACGCACACTGGCCTTAATACAACGTGTGAACGGTTATTACTAATTGGCATGAAGCTGAGTGATTTTCATGAGCTCACTCCTCTTTAATTCTCATGAACTTGCGTCTTATCAAGTTCATGAGCTGGCAGCTCCTTATAATTCTAGGGCTGACAGTTCTTTAATCATTGTGCGCTTCAAGCTTATGTTGATGAGATATTAATGAAGCCCTCCTGAGTTAGTATGTATCCAACAGACCAAATATAATATTCGGTCTGTTATGATTGATATATTTCCTGTGGAAATCGCGGTGATATTTTTTCCACATAAATTTCTCGTTTATTACAAGAATGTTCACCTTGAAAATTGGTGAATATGTTGAAGAGATGTTCATCTTAAACTAGAAGCAAAAATATTTGTATAAGGCGGGTACAAGTTGATGTAAAATAATGAAATGTTCAGACTCACCAAAACTTCAGGATGTGTTCATAAGTAGATAGTGAAATCAATGTCAAGGACGTTTGAGTTCACGAGATCCAAACAAGATATGCAAATTTTTGAACTTTGACAACACATGACCACTTGATTACCTCGGCCTTAATGAAGCCCTCCTGAGTTAGTATGTATCCAACAGACCGAATATAATATTCGGTCTGTTATGATTGATATATTTCAGTTATTTATTTACAAATAGACTGACGTCACTGGCTAAATCTCGTTTATCGTGAGAATTGGCATTGCCAAAATGGCTTGACCTAATCAATGGCTTCGCTACAAGAAGCGTCTGTACATTTTATGAATATCTTCAGTAAGGGGACAATATACGAAAAAATAATATTGTAAGTTCTTTATAAGGTAATCATTTTATCATTAAACAAACTTTTGTAACATTTATACAACACCACATTTTACAATAGGTGACTTACAGTCTGAATTTATTCAGACGACGAAGGATACAGTCTAGTGCCTTACGGTAATGCCGGATTGTCGGCAGCGGCAGTAGATACTCTCAATTGCCGGTAATAAAATCCATTGCCGATAATCGCCATGCTGCTGCAACATGATTGGCATTGCGATCCATTGTCAAATTTACGAAACAATGTTCGTTTAAGAATATTTTATCAATCATGTATATTTCAATCTCCACATTTGAAGAGCTAATCTGTCAATCAACTGCAAATCATTCGTAAAAGGCGGGAGGATAAGCAAAACCCCGCCCACTTCTGTCAATCATCTCCCATGCCGCGAGATTAACAAATCACGTGACGTGATATTTCGGTGAAGTAAAAACAAACACAAATAATTTGATCAATTTTGATCGAATTCACTCTATATTATCATTCCTAACAATACACAATCACACACGAGATACACGATGATACAATATATCCACTGTAGTTGATGTGAGCGGGAAATCAAGCTGAGAAATCGGCTTCGTTAAGGATTTTTCCAAATATTTTAGTTTCACTTTCAGATTTTTCCCCGGGATTTTAGGAACATTATCAGTATCAACGATTATCGGCAACGGTAAGGTAATGGAGGTGAAATTTACCGGCAGTGAGATCCATTACCGTTGCAAGCACTAATACAGTCTACCTCCTGAGTGCTAAGTTAGTATTATGCAACTCCTCCAGGCAACACTTTACCTAAAGAAAGGTGAAATCACATTCTAAGGTGACAAAGGGATAAGAGGTGTAACGTCGATGTGTAGGGTAATATCTACAAAATAGACGGGGTAAGTTTGACACTTATCAAAAGTAGAATTTCCGTTTTCCGCCATGTTTGATTTCTGAAAAAATTAAAATCTAGAGCGATATCTCAATCTATGCGAGACAAAAAATATGGCTTCCCCCTAGATCGGAAATTAGAGCAAATAAACAACAAGGTGTCGAAGTTCCCCAACATGTCGAAGTTACCCCAAAATGGTGTCGACGTTACACCCCTTCACCTTAAATGCTTACACTTTTTCATTGCTTTGTACCAAACTTCCACCACTTTCTGATGCTGCACTTTCTTGGAAAACATCCATAATGACAATGCCAAGATGCTATCCTGTGTAGAGTTAGCAGTGTAAAATTTCTTGATAGCATGTTCTTCATTGATGGTCGTCATTTTGCACGAGAATCCAGCTTTGGTGACAATGTTTTGAAAAATATTCGGAGGTCACGTTGCGAAAATAGATTTTGATTCCACTTATCTGATGTTTAGTATCCAACTCAGTGCAATTGCAAGGCGAATATAATGATTCTGATACGCTCCATATTTGTGAGAGTTATAGTGTAGCATATATTGGTCCGCTTACAAAGATATTCATACTTTTATCGTATAAATTTTGCATCAACTTTCTGCATTTACATCCGCCATATTGGAACATCCTAATCGGTAAAATTCGGAAATCCCGGAAATACACGAAGTGAGATTTTGCGTCCCCTCAGCATCATTAGTCCTTATTTTTGTCAAAATCATGCAAGATTGGATTTATCGTTTTGTTTCGAATGTCGCATCTTGTTTAATAATCTTGTTTTTAATCTAAGTCGATTTATGCATGTTCGTGGATTATAACCACCATTAAACTGCGCAAGATCAATTAGCATATCTTCTTTTCTATATATATTTATTAAGGTTGTACTTAGACCTGTTTAGACAAAAAAATGTATAAACTGCATATGTTGCATCATTGTTAAGACAAGATTTTGAAGATTCTTCACCAATATAATCGTCACAATTTTGTATAAAGTTTTGCGCAAGGAATCAAGTAGCGCGCACTTGCTAACTGGAACTGACGTCACGAATCATGGCGATATTATTTGAAGGTCCACGGAAAGTTACTCTCCTCAATTCATTAGAATATTCGTGTACTGACAGCTCCAAATGAGGTTAAAGGGAACTTAACTAGTACAATATATATATGACTATAGCCATGCAGAAGACAAGGTCCAGTAAGTGACTATTACGGATATTATCTTCCGTTGAATGAATGGAAAGTTTTATTTGGTGGGGGCTGTTCGAAAGTGAAGTGAAACTGTTGACAAGTTTTCAAGTGACATTTTCGGAATTTTAAGATTTAGGCTTGTAGAATATGCATTGTAGAAAATATGGCTCAAAGCGATATATTGGGTCCACAATGTTTGTCGGTGTGGTGCTTGGCCTGGCTTTGGGATCATGGTTGAGAACCAGAGGCAATGTGAAAATGTGTATTTCAAATCCAATGAGAATGGATACGGGTCTCTTACAACATCAAGTATCAACAGAACCAACATTGACGTATGAAAAACCAAAGGATAACATGATATTTGTTGGAGTTATGACAGCCCAGAAATATCTAGACTCTCGGGCTGTTGCTGCTAACCAAACTTGGGCCAAAACTATACCTGGAAAAGTCTTATTCTTTTCACGCTCAGGGTCTGCAAGTAACTATGATATTCCAGTTGTAAGTCTCCCTGGGGTAGATGATACTTACCCTCCACAGAAAAAATCTTTCCTCATGTTGAAATACATGCATGACCATTTCATTGACAAATATGACTGGTTTATGCGTGCAGATGATGATGTTTATATCAAGGGGGAAAAACTTTCGAAATTCCTCTATTCTATAAATAGCTCAAAGCCGCAGTTTATAGGACAGGCGGGACTTGGAACCAAAGAAGAATTTGGTACGCTCAGCTTAGACCAAAATGAAAACTTTTGCATGGGAGGAACAGGAATTGTGATGAGTAGAGAAACACTAAAGAGGATTGTACCACATATAAAGTATTGTTTAAAGAATCTTTATACCACGCATGAAGATGTCGAGATTGGCCGATGTGTCAAGAAATTTGCTGGGGTAACCTGCACTTGGGCTTTTGAGGTGAAGTGGTATTTTTTTATATTGTATAATTTATTTTATTTTATACTGTTATTGCATGGCTTGCACCATTAGAATATCTTATAATTCTAAACAACAGCCTTGCATTATCTTGTATCGTTCTTGAATTGCCACCTGGCATCATCTACAGTGTACTTCCTTATTAGGGGCAAGGGATTAGAAGGGCATGATGAAGTCCTGCATAGAGCCACAAGAAAATGGTAGTTAGTTAAGGTGATTGGTTCATGTCTATGAATGGATGGAAGTATAGAATAAAGGCTATTTCTAGGGAGAGGGATGAATAAAATTTGTATGGCTGCTATTTTAAGTTACTTATTCTTAAACATGGGAAATGTAAGTGGAAATTTTATGCCCAAAAAGCCCCCTAAACTATTTTAATTGTATATGGTATATTTATGTAACTGACACATAAATTTTCCATGTTGTGATTAAAATTCAAGTATAACATGCTGAATAATTATGCTCATCCTTAAACAGTTAAGTTTTGGAAGCCGGTCAAGATCCCAGAGTTCACTTAAATGAATACCTGTAAACATACATATGAACCTTGATGTGACCAAGATACAATATAACATAGTCTATTAGATAATATATAGGTTAATTGATAAAGGCCATTTTCTTTGATAGTCTCATTCAACCCTATGATATAATGTTTACAATTTCAAACATTTCTTCAAATGCCCACACCATAGGTTAAACTATGGAATCTCGTTGTTCACTTTTCAAAACATGAGACTTGAAAGATTTTCTTTATAAGGTCAAAATATTTCTCATGATGCAGTTCGCGGCGGAACAAATTCATACTTCCTTGTTTTCCCCTGTAGGTTTAACATGATTTTCACACCTATTTTCCCCTTGATATTTTCGTTCTTATTACTCGGGGTGGAAGGTGTGAGAATTGTGCAAAAAATGACTTTGTAAGCTGGATGGAGTTTCTCTGTATTTTTCACTCTATTAGGGTTTCCTGCATAAGGGATTTCGCCTGCGAAGCATATAACTCTTGCGAACATATCCAAATATTGGTCTGAAGAAGACATACCTTGAATTTTTAGAAAAAAATTGGCTAAAAATGGAAACTACAAAAAGTCAAAATGTTCAACTCAAACAATACTCTAGCTATTTAATATTAACACTATGTATTATTTAATGTTTTTCAGATGTTTAAGGACCTTCATTAGTGTACTAGTGTCTAGAAATAAGATAATTAAGGACAAAATTTGGCATTTTTGATCATTTTCGCTTTCAGCAGTAACATGTAGTTCCTTATATCTTGAGTTTAATGTTGACTGGTTGTTGCAATTTTGATCAAATCTGTTCTTGTACATGTCTTCTTCCATTTAAGATACAAAAAATGTATATTGGACCACCAATGGTCATATTAGAGCTTTCAGATCTCCCCTACCCCATTTATATTGAAAAATTACTGAAACATATGAAAATGTAAAATAACTTGAAATTATAAACTTTAACAATGTTGTAGCTATTCTATATCAATATTATGTATTAATTTATGTTTTTCAGATATTTCAGAACCTTTATTGGTATACTAGTGCCTAGAAATGAGACATTTAAGGACAAAACTTGGCATTTTTTAAAATCATTTTAGCTTTCAGCAGTAATATATAGTTCCTCATATATTGAGTTTTATGTTTACTGGTTGTTGCAATTTTAATCAAATCTGTTTTTGTACATGTCTTCTTCCATTTAAGGTATGAAATGTATAGTGGACCACCGATGGTCATATTAGAGCTTTCAGATCTCCCCTACCCCATTTATAATGAAAAATTATAAGAAAAATATGAAAATATAAAATAACTTGAAACTATAAACTTTAATAAAGTTGTAGCTATTCTATATCAATATTATGTGTTATTAAATGTTTTTAAGATATTTCAGAACCTTTATTGACAAACTAGTGCCCAGAAATGAGACATTTAAGGACAAAACATGGCTTTTTTTTACCATTTTCGCTTTCAGCAATAACATATAGGTCCTTATATCTTGAGTTTAATGCTGACTGGTTGGTGCATTCTTAGTCAAATTTGTTCATGTAGATGTCTTCTTTCATTTAAGATATAAAAAATGTATAGTCGATGACCAATCTTCATATACGAGCTTTCAGATCTCCCCTACCCCATTTATTAGGAAAAATGACCGGAAAATATTAATAAAAAGTAAAATAACTTCAAATTATGAACTTTTACAATGTTGTACCTATTCTATGTCAATACTATGCATCATTTAATCTTTTTCTGATGTTTCAGGACCCTCATTAATATTCTAATGCCTAGAAATGAGATATTTAAGGACAAAACTTGGCTTTTTTCATTTTCGCTTTCAGCAATAACGTATAGGTCCCTATATCTTGAGTTTTATGCTGACTGGTTGGTGCATTCTTGGTCAGATCTGTTCTTTTACATGTCTTCTTCCATTTAGGATATAAAAATGTATATTGGACAACCAATGTTGATATTAGAGCTTTCATGTCTCCCCTGCCCCATTTATAATGTAAATGAAAAAGTAATTTCAAATCATAAACTTTAACAAAATTGTAGCTATTCTCTATCAATACTATGTATTATTTAATGTAACCTTCATTTGATTACATGTGTCTAAAATTTGGCATTTTTAGCATTCTGCATTTAGCAGTAGCATATAATTTTCCCCAATTATAATTCTTTGATGATAGATTCATATATGTTTTTTATTGAATCTGTCTTCTTTGATTTAAGTTAAAGAAAATGTATGTAAGACAGCGAATGTTTTTATTAGAGGTCTAAGATCTGCCCTCCAACATTTTATAAGAAAACCAACACAAATGTTGTTATTGCAAGTTAATATTCATAAACTTTTCAAAAGTTTAGCACATTTATTGGCATACTAAAATCAAAAAATGACACATAAATGGGCAAAATGACCTATTTTTCACTTTCAGCACTAATTGTTTATATTTTTAGTTGAATGGTGATTAGTTGACATATTTTAGATCATATATATATTCAATTATGTGTCTTGTCATCTTCAAAGCATGGAAAATGTGTTTTAAACACAAATATACATATTAGAGATAAAATTACTGCACTACCATATTTTTAAAAGATTACTCAAAAATAGAATAGTGCGAAATAATTTTGTAATTTCACAGTTTACTCTCATATGAATCAAAGGATATGTCTATATATAAACATGATTGTTCACAACTCTCGAACTTAATCCAGCAACAGCCTGATTTTTCAAATCTCCTTGGTTCTATGTTATAGCTGCATTTAAGTCATTTTAAAGGTCTAAGATGCTCATGACACCACAAGCTATATATTCAGATATGTAAGATCTCTAAATAATTTTTATAGTTCTGAGAAACTCATCCTAAAATATTGTCCAACGATGTGCACTATGTTGTTTATTGCCACATGGACAAGTAGCAACACACCCTTAACTAGAAACTTTGTATTTGCAATTCGCTGCCTTTTGTCATTTTACATTTGCGAATTGCCAAGGACATAGGTTTGTTTGTGAGTACTGGTACAAGACACCCATCTTTGATATATAGGTATTGCACTTTGAGATTCATATAGTAAATTAGAATGCTACCTTGAAGGACATAAGAAACTTTAAAAGCTCTTTTTAACTCTCATCCTTCTTTGCAAGCAACATTCTGTATCATCAGACTGAATACAAATTCTCTCAACATTGAATTCCTTTGTCTTGTCTGCAGCACTGTAATAGACATGGGCCATAAGGAGAGTGTCAACTTCTTCATAATCAGTATTTGATAGATTGTTTATAAGTTGCAACTATCAGTTTTGCAAAGTTCAATAGCAGCTCTGCCATAAGTGAAATTCATCCCATTTTAGAGATACAGTAACATTGCTTCACAAACCAAAGACGAGCTTACCATTTTGCAATTGTTTCCAAAATCATCTTGTTGGCTGTTCTTCATTTCACAATGTTTGCATTTACCAAAATATCCCCAAGCCCAATATCCATCATGAACTTTCACCCTTAGGTGTAATATGGAAATCACCAAGCCTTTGACAACATTGCAATTGATAATGAGGGAATTCAACCAATATGGCTTGATCACTAGTTATAATTATCACAGTACTATACCCCATTATTTTTAAATATATTCCAAGTGTTGTACTATACATTGCATAGATTCATGAGCAGTTTGCAACGTATTATTACCAGAAAGCCCAATGGCCAAAGATAGAGAATACCCGCCACATTGATACAGCTCAACTTTAAATGTCTAATTTTTAGACTTGTATACTCATGAAGTTCCTGACACATCTGAAAAATATCAAATAATACATAGTTTTGATCTAGAATATCGACAACTTTGTTAAAGTCTATACTTTGAAATTGTTTGGTTTTTATATTTCTGGTTATTTTTTCAAAATAAATGGGGTAGGGGAGATATGTAAGCTCTAATATAATGACAGGCTTTCCAATATACATTTTTAAATACCTTAAATCAAAGTAGGCAGGCAAAAGAACAGATTTGATCAAGAATCCATCAACCAATCAGCATAAAACTCAAGATATAAGGAACTATATGTTATTGCTAAAGTGGAAATGATGAAAAATTGATGAGAAATGCCAAATTTTGTTCTTAAATGTCTAATTTCTCGACACTAGTATACTACCCTGCGTGCAGAGTCTAGTTAAACTACACTCTGCCTAGTAGATACCATATTACAGTTTAGTAGCCCCGCCCCCACGACAGGTACCGGTGACAGTTTGGGTAATAAATCACTTTTGACCTACGCGCTGACCTTTCTTCCACCAATCAGCGAGCTTGAAGAAACTTATACGCCAAATGCGTTCTAATTAAATATGTGCATGTCATTGGTCAATTCCGGGCTCAACGATGACGTCAGAAAGAATGACCATATATAGAACGTTGGTCAAATTTGGCCGACGAACACTGATTGGCGCGGTGAGTTCACAGGTTTATTTTAGTTTGAAAGAGTGAAGAC